TGCCAGGTGGGATAATGGGGCAAGGGTGCCCCTCTGTGCCTGGGAGGCACTGTCCCACACACGCACTGGGACCCTCTCCCTGTCATTGTAACTTTCAGTCAGAAGTGGGGCCTGTTTTCTGCCCTGATGCATACGGAGCAGTCTCGTAATGGGACTTGGGAATTTGGCTGGCTCTCCCAGGTGGACCCACTGCTCCCTCGCCTTGGTCTTCTCTCTACCATAGCAGGGTTCCAGTGTCTTCCTCCTCCTCCTCAGGCTACCTTGACCCCTAAAGAGGGCTTTCTAGAGTTCCAACTGAGGCGTTCCTTTGTGCCAAAGGAGACACAAGGGCAAAACAGTTGGGTCCCCCTGCCTGCAGTGGCTGTCTGTTCACAGTCATCCCACTATGAAAAAGCACGTTGTGCACCTGGACAGTCCACTGATCCCTCCAGCCACCTCCGCAGCACGCCTGTTTGCAGCTCCTGCCCTGGCCAGTTGCCCACTTGGTCTTGGCTCCCTTGGAGGCCTGAGGACTAGAGCTGCCAGGTAGATGTCCAGGAATTTGCGGGGTCCTCAGGGCTCCTGTTCTGTCTGTCTGTCTGTCTGTGTCTCCAAAGTGCACCCTGCCGTCATGTTTTGAGGCTGTCTGTCTGGACTTGCCTGTCTACACCTTGGTCTGTATTTGAAGTTGTCCTAGTGTCTGTCTGTGTCCCTTGTCTTGCTGTTTGGGATCTGCCTGGACATGTCCGTTGGGAGTCCGCGTTCTAGTCCCAGCATTGTGTCTGGCTCACAGCATGGCTGGAGCAGGCTTCTCCAAGGCAGTACCTGGCCCTATCCTCTATCTGACCCTGCCCCAGCGGTAGAGTGGGGCATTGTAGAGAACTGAAATCTGACCTGTTGGCCACTTAAACAGTACCCCACCACATCTCCCTCGGCCCACTGAGTACCCAAGTCCCCGGCAACATGGTGGGCTGTGGGGCTGTAAGGATCTGTCCTGGGCATGAACAGCAGAACAGCAGGTACACTTGACGTGGCATCTCCACAGATTCAGAGGGTCCTGGAGCCTCAGTCAGAACTTTTCCACATCTGTTTGACCCTGCCAGGCCACCTGACCCTCCTGAGTCCAACTGTAGAGCGTGTGGGGACCCCCCCACACACACACACCGCCTGCCCCGCCCCTCCCCACCTCAGCCTGCAGTCTCAGAACCAAAGCCCAGTCTGTCAGTAACTCTCACACATTCCTGGAAGAGGATTAATCAGCCCAGATTCCAGCAAGTCTTTGGCAAGGTTTAGCAGAGATTTAGCAACGTGCACACCACAGAGCTTTTCTCTGCACGATTCTATAATAGTAAAAAGTGGACAAAGGTGCCCATGCCCACTCTTGGGGTCCAGCTGGGTGAGCTGGACTGTTCCCCGCAAAGGGGAGTGACCCAGCTATGGGGAGGCCAGGTGAGCTCTGGAGAGCTCCCCAGAGACCTTGTAGCACTCTGGTCCAGACCACTGAGTATAGCAAAGTGTCCTAGTTTGTCTCTCCATTGCTGTGACAAAACTCTCTGACCACTACCAACTTTGGGGGGAAAGGGTTTATTTTTCTTACATCTCCCAGGTCGTAGTTCATCAGGGAGCCCAAGGTAGGAACTCAGAGCAGGAACCTGGAGGCAGGAGCTGGAGCACAGGCCATGGAGGAACGCTGCTTACTGGCTTGCTCCCCTGGCCCCTGCTCAGCCTGCTTTCTTATGCAACACAGGCCCACCTGCCCAGGGGTGGAACTATCCACAGTGGGCTGGGCCCTCCCACATCACTCATCAAGAAGATGCCCCTCAGACCTGGCCACAGGCCAGTCCAAAAGAGGAAATTCCCCAACTGAGGCTCCCTCAACCCAGGTATGTTAAGTTGACACTAAAGCTATTGAGCACACAAGGAAAACTCCACAACTACAATGGCCACTTTTAAAAAGAGCGGGGAGAGGTGCTTGCCCATGTGTTTAGGAAGACACTGGGGAAGGACACCCACAGAGCTAAGTCAGATTTTGCTTCCAAGGCACAGTGGTTGAAGGTAGGGACTACAGGCCAGAAGGCTCGAAGGGCACCTGGCTTTGTGCTCTGGCCCATGGGACCAAAATGCTTTCTATAATTAAAAAGCAATTTTAACTCATTTTTAGATTTAAAACAAACCAGAAGAAAGAGTAGAGTTGGTAGGAGACCTCAGTGAAAAAGGCTCCAGGTAGAAAGTCTTTTGACTGTACTGTGTGTCCACGGGAAAAAACACAACAATAGAGAGCAACGTCAGGTTCCTTTCGGAAGGCTCTGCGGTATAAATATGGGCTGTGTCACTTCAGAATTACTGTAAGTATCAGGAAAGACACATACAGACCCACTGTGGGGAAGAAAAGCTGTCGTCGCGAAAACAATCAAATTCCAACAAGTAAGCGTCCCAGAATCCCAAATTCTAGGTGAAAATACCACGTTTTAGTTTCCCTCTTGCTAAAATATAAAAAGTGTTGGTGTGGTGGCACCTGTCCCCAAGCTCAGTGCTTGGAAGGTAGATCCAGGA